GGGGTAACATGGAGTCAATTTTGATCTGACTCAGACATGGTAACATGATAGGAGCACACACACGAGTATATTTGCAGAGTTACTCCCCATTCTCTCTCTCTCAATTGATTTTGGCATTATTACTGTTGTCACAATTATTAATTCGCAGACTGCCATAAGTTTTCGAAATCGGCATACTCTGTTAGTTGTAGGCTTTGCTAGACTTCACTAAAAGGCTATTATAGTGAGACCCAAGTGAATGGGGGATAGAGATAGACAATAAAGCTCGCATTTTCCAACTACTTGGCATTTGAGGACAAACCTTGTTGAAGCACTTAGGTAGTACTGTTGACGCTATCACCTCGAGATCTCTTCAAATGTGCTCATTTCAAAGTTTAATCGATGAAATACAGCAGTGGTGTGGATGGCCCAAGAACCTTGGCACTGTGTGGCTATCAAGACAAATTGGGTTCAATCTTAGTCATTGGGACTGCCGGAACACGACGAGAAAGTAAACCACTGTCGGAGTTTGCGAATTTATATAGAAATCTCCTTCAATCTATCAGAAAATACAGTTATGCTCAAATCCTGATAAGTTAGCATCGATTGTGAGAATGAAATGGAAGGTTGTGTTGTCTCGTACTAGTGAAAGACACCCTGGATACAGTCAACGTTTTATGCAAAACATGGCGCTTCAAACCACTCTTCCAACCTCTATGATGAGGTATATTGAGTGACTTTTATAAATGGAGACAGAAAAAGGTCTCTTATAGCAGAGAATAAATTTAGAATTCTGATGAATTATCAAAAATGAAAGCCCTTTTGAATCTGCTAACGTCGCATTACTTAACAATTGAGTTCAAGATCATTAATTACCTAAGTCCGTTGTGCGTCTAGGTGTTCTGGTTACCAATGTGCAGATAGGTGATACCCGATTCGACGCTTTATTTTGAACTCAAATGAGATTTTTTCCTAATTTTACAGCAAAAGGAACTTCTTTCACCATTATCCAATTTGCTTATCGAAAGGTATTTCCTTTCCTATTACTTAATTCTGGTGCCAATCCCGATTGAGTTGACTCAACTTTAAATGATAAATTGCCTTCCTAAAAATCACTTCTTATTGAAACAACTAATTCCCTATTTACCACAATAGCAAGCATTGTAACTTCGTTGTATATGGGATGCTGACAGAGCCAGTTTCATCTTTTTGGTTCTCACTCTCTCTCTAACGCTCTCGCTCAACCACTCACAAAGAATCACCTTGTGACCAACAGGAATATTTACGGCAGGTTGTTTATAATCCGTCAGGTGAAAGAGGTTCTAGTAATATGTTATATGGTATTATGCATGTTGCTCATTTTTTTGGCTTTGATAGAAATGTCTGCTGTTTTCGTGAACATCTTGGAGACTTGAAACAAATATTTGTGAAATTGAGTAGCTGAACTACATCTGCTACTGAACACTTATAAGTGACATATGGGTGATCGAATTTCAGACAAAAATGTTAAAGTTTAATATTTCTATTTTGTCCTTTTTTCTCCATTATCTAAAATGAAAGCAGGCTGATACGAGCCTTGAAATTGATTTATCGTCACCCCAAGTCTTTCCATTTACATGCATTCATAGTTGTCAATGGTTTAACCTGCAGTTGTTATTTATTATTATCATTACATGTTTTTCGGTCAAGTGGATACACGCTGATAGGCACTATTCGCGGATCATTTCAAATAGCTTTCTTAAAAGGCGATATTGTCTTTATATCCATTAGTAACCCCTAAAGTGACTTCATGTTTTTCAAAATATAGCGGAAATACTTGGAGCTTTTGTGCAATACGAGTGGAAAGGTGTTTCCCCATAAGTTTATTTCAGAGCATTAATCTCATCTGCTTGAAATGATGTAATCAGAAATACTGCTCTTAAGCAGCTTGTTACTTTTCACCTAATTTGTTGTCTAGTTCAATCTTTTCAATAGCAATGATTTGTGTTAGCAAATGAGGCAATAAATGATATATGGCCCTTTGTCGAACTTGGGTCGCTTTCAGTGCGACCAACAGGAGGCAGCTTATATCAGAGCAGATGGACATGGTTTCAGAAAGGGAAGGTGAGTAAAGCTTATAGAGTATGGGAATTGGTCCACAGAATCGACTACGTTAGCACCTATTGAATTCTCAGCTGAAGTGCGCATATTTCCCATTATTCTATTTCAATCGATTGTGTGACTCAATGCCAACACCGAGGAAGGCTTTCGGAACAACATTATTTCACCATTTAATTCAAACTTCATGAATAACAAAACAATTAATCACTGCACAATGGAATACCTCGTTGATAATTGCACTCAAGCAAGCACCAGAATTTAGGTAAAGAAAAAGTAATACCTTTTCGATTTACAAATATTGAGGATGATGAAGTTAGTTCCTTTTCCTGTAAAAGTAGGAAATAATCTCAATAGAGTTTAAAACAGAGCGTCTATTCTGGTATCACCTATCTGTACATTGGTAACCAGAACACCTAGACGCATAATGGACAAATGCTAAAATTTGATCTCCCCATTGTCTCACTTCAAACCAAACCTTCAAAACTTTGGCAAAAGTCCATTCGCCATTCCTCGAGCCTACAACCCAACACCTAGCGCACCTCAATCATTTCCAATATTGGAATCATTGTTAGATGAGGAGACGCACGTTCCCATATGGGCCTCTCGAATCACAGCTGAAGTAGGGAGACAGCAAACTTTAATCCTCCTTTAGGCTGTTATCATTTGGAGAACTTCCAAGCATCCAGGAAGTTTTCAATTATCTATAAACATCAGCTCCACTCCCTCAACCCATAAAGTGCTTACATAAGGACAGCCTTTTCCTCCAAACACGGAAAATGTCGCGTTTCAAATGGACATTTATTGGAACATTTAATTCCAATGGATCCATTTTTACTTCTAGAAACGGCCGCAACGTAAATACGTCAGTCAGTTGGCTCTGATAAACCAAGAGCAACCCAACATAACTCCTCGAGGGTACTAGCAAAGATCTCTCTCACTCTCAGCACCAGTAGTCCAGTATTCTCGTCGACCCCTCTCATGAGTGGACTCGCATTGGATTGGTTTACCATAGTTCAACTGCTTTCTCAATCTAAAATATGTTAATAAAGAGGAGGACTTTTCCCTCACCGAGGCATTAGACGCCTATGAGATCCCGAAGACGTGCCACAATGTAAAGAGTAAGCTGAGATGGAGCAGGC